TAGGATGCGGACGATGCCCCCCCACGACCCGTTGTGAAGGCTATTCTCAAGGCTTTCGGCTGCTTGACTGCAGCGTTCTTGCAAATGTGTTCAAAGCGGCGGTCCCTGTCTCTGCTCCAAGATGCAGCCATGAATTGGTTGTCGAGTAGATCATTTATGTGGATTTTGCGAAGACACGAGTTTGTTTATTCTGGGGGGGTGCCTCGGCTATCCATGAGGGAGATTTCGTGTTTCGGCTCTCATTCCATGTCCAAAGTGAGGCTTGGCTGGTCACCAGCCGCATTGCAACCTCGTGCTGCGGAAGAAGGCATGCAACTGCGGCTGGAAGGACCTGGCCTAATTCGGTGCACTGGGCAAACTTGAGGATTACAGATGACTGCAGCGGCTCGCTAAGGCCTGCTAAGGCTAAGGCATGTGATTCCAAGTCAAGGACTAGGATTTAACAGATGTTAAGGAATTTTATTTGGGCCATGCAGTGACTGTGTGGCAGGAACTATAGATTGTTCATGCAAGGCAGCCGTTGCCCGGTGATTGAATATCCCAGCCCAGTGTTTCAAGCCATCCAAGTTTGCCCAGGTTTCTACCGTAATTCGGTTGTGCACACATGGCAAGGGTGTGATTGCATGCCCCCCGCCAGCGCAAAACTTGTTGGAGCATCGTGCTGTGTTGTTTGTCCGTGATTTTGCTCTTCCTTTTTGACCTCGAAACGCGTTCCGTATTGTAATTTGCAGTGCCTCCTCCTTGTTGCATGTCTGAAAATCACAAGGCTGCAACGATTAGCAGCAGTAGTAGAATAGAGTAGAATAGAATAGACAGAAGAATAGAGCTATTATTATTATTAGTAGTAGGAGGAGCAGCAGTGGTGATAGTAGTAACAGTAGAAGAAGTACGTGGTGGTGGTGGTGGTGGTGGTGGTGGTGGCGGTGGCGGCGGTGGTGGTGGGGGCGGCGGCGGCGGTGGTGGCGGTGGTGGTGGTGGTGGGGGCGGCGGTGGTGGTGGTGGTGGTAGTCGCAGGTGGTAGTCAGTAGTATTAGTCAGTAGTAGTCGGCGTCATAGTAGTAGTCGTGGTAATGGTGGTAGTAGTATTAGGCGCCCCTCCTCCCTACCAACTATTTTTCACAGATTGCGCATGTTGAAGCCAGGAAAAATTGCAGAAATACTGGCGTTCGTGGACTGCTACAAGGCTTTGTACTAATGCGTGGGGATGCCGGAAGTGGGGTGGGGTGGGGTAGGGTGGGGAGGGGGGGGTTGGGGGGGCATAGTGATGTCAATTCAAAGAGTGCACATGCAAAAACTATTGGCATTTATTGGCATTTACAGCAGTTTTGATGATTTTGTGTGGGTGAAGCACGTTCCACCACTACCCTCTGACTCTTAGGCTCTTGACAGCCCACCCCTGACATTTAAGGAAACATAGTTGGTAGGGGGGGCGGCTAGTAGTAGTAACAGTAGTTGCGCAAGAAGTACTAGTAGTAGTAGTAGTAGTAGTAGTAGTAGTAGTAGTAGGAGGTCTTGAAGACTTCCCTGGAGACTTCCCCCAAGACCCACGCGATTTCATGTGTAGGGTGCCCTGAAGCCTTGATCGATCTTATCCTGGAGCTGTCATCATGAGGGCCGATGCTTATACGGCCTGTAACGCATAGTATGGATTAGGCCATCTAGAAGATTTCTACCCAGCCTGACGCGCATGCTGTAATCGCTCTGATGTCTAGTAATAATAAGTTCAGCGCCCTTCCGTTGATCTACTTACCTCTATTCTTGCATATGTCAACAGTCCTTGCGATCCAGAGGTAAGCCTAGTGAGGGCTTCCTGGGTGGGGATGGTTCCTGCGCATGCTCTTTGGATTCTGATGGAAGAACCCCTGCACGCACTTCATTTGCATGTCCTAAACCCTCAATCCTAAACCCTAAATTTACAAGGACCAGACTCAAGAGCTGCACTGTAGAAAGATCGTTTCTTCACAGAAAGCAGAAACAATCCAGCCCTTGAAGCCTTGAAGACGCCATGGTCTAAACTCCTGGTATCGCCTTAAACCCTATAACACTCCCCTACATAATCCGCGTTATAGGGAGTTTAAACTGAAACCTTCCTGACCCTCAGGAAGCAACCTTTTGAACATGAGCCCTGCAAGCCTTGGCTTTATTGAACGTGTATCTATAGAAGGTGGTGGCGTGAGTTTTGCGATGGGGTTTATAGGGCTGTTGTTATGAGCCATAGTCTGGAATCCAAAGTAGCATCCCCTTAATGACGCCTATATCCCCCCCTATGTAACTGTAAGGAGTTGAGACTTTAGCTCATATGTATAGATACAAATAGATTTATCTTTATAAAAAGCTGTATTCGCAAGCATTGCATGCTTGACTGAAATCCGTAGAAGGTTGCAGCGTGCGATTTATTATTGGGCTTTTTAGGGCTGTGATTAGAAGGGTTTACTTGCTTGTGCGCTGCTTATTAGGGGATGGTTGGAAGATGTTTTGGAATTCTTTGCTGATACGGATGTACTGTACGTGAGCTTCTTATTGTGGGAGGGCTCGGAGATGTTTCGTTTGTTTGGTAGCGATTGTCTGCAAGGTTCGTAGAAGATCCCAAGAGGAAGTGGAGGAATGGACCCCTATAATCAGGTACCCAATACAAATACAAGAATCACTTTGAACTGCGCCTATGCTGATCCCTAAAACCTAAACCCCTCCCTTGGGATTAGTTGATGGATTGATCTGAGGCTGGTGGAAAAGATCTTCGGGGTACACAAGCATGCACGCACTCCTCCCGAATGGCCATCGCCAAGCTGCATATTGACTGACGCCTGGGAAGTGTTGATTCCGCTTGTATACATAAACACCCCATACCCAACGGAGGAGGACCCCCTATTCCAGGCCCTTTTTTCAGGGATAGTTTCAGGTGGGTAGTTACCAGGTGGGTACCCCCATATAAGGCTTACATAAGGCTCGTATAAGGGTAATGGGGCTATATGAGGTTTATCTTATAAGGGTAGCTACCCACCTGGAATTGTCCTTGATTTTTCCGCAACGTTAAATGCACGCTGATTAAGTTTTTGAATTTTAAGCAGGCTCGCAGGAGCCACAGCTGAGGTACACAGATGCCAGGAAGGATTCCTCGGCGGTGTACAACGACATCATGGCTTCATTGAGTGATAAGGGCAGCTATGATGATAGCATCGATGGGCTGCTGACAGGTCATGATACTTGGAAGATCAGGTCCCAAGGAAGCTACGGCTTGGACGGTCTCGCCTGCGTGCGCGGAGCCTACAAAGAGCTATGCCGCACGACATGCTCAAACTGAAAAGCCTGGCAAATTCAATTTGTGATAGATTTTCCCGCAAGGCTCACATATAGTTCCAGAGTGCGGCAGGCAGGGGAAAATTAGTAAAAAGTGATTTCTGCGGTTCCCGCCCACCTCCTCCGTTTTACATCGTACTTTTATTCACCACATTCGTTTTCTCATAATTTACATTTAAATTTTACCGAAAGGTCATGTTATTGGCCTATTTCATTTCATTAAATATTCTTCTGCGCTCATGTCTGCGGTCATTTGGTTTAAGTATTTGAAAATTAGATTTTTTAATGTTCCATCTCTTTCATTATTTTCATGAAGCTTTACCTTATTCATTTTTTCATTTTTAAGATTTTTCATTTTTTGTTTTCAATTTGCAAGGGACTTTTAGAAATTCATTGTTTCACGGTTTCTAGGGTTTTTAATCACCTTATGCATTATATCAAAATATGACCCCAGAATTCAATGATTTTTCATGTTTTTACCAGAATGTTGAAACATTTCTAAATATCTACCTCACTCATTCATTATTTCATCATCATTTTCCGGGGTGTTTTCCCAAATCAGGGATTTCTGGGGTGTTTGACGTTCTAGTGGTTGATCAAGTACATTCACAATAGATTGTATTATATCACTTGTGCCAAATATTCGCAGTAAAATATAGTGTGAAGGTTTGTTGCTTAAACTGTATTCTGAGGTACTATTCTTCATATGAACACTGATCATATTAAACACGTCTTTAACATATGTTCTATGCTCTTCCCTTTTCTTGATTTCTTCATTGCTCCATGTTCTTCTAAAAATTGTTGTGGTTGCTCCCTTATTCGTTAAATAACTTCATTTAGTCTTTGTGTTTTGTTTTTTCGCGTTTGTTCTTTATGTTCCTTTGATTTTTGTTTTTGTCCGTTCCTTTCTTTACGTTGGTTATAATCATTTTTAGCACAATTGGATTTGTGTTCTTCATGTCTTTTTCGCGATATCTTTTCTTTGTGTCTAAACATTGATTACATTGTTTTCTTTCAGGTTTAAATCAGTCTAAATTTCTGTATTGTTTACATTTTGCGCATTCTTGTTTATTTTGAGCATGATAATTCTCCATACCAGAATAAAGCGTCTTTTCTTTAAATTAATCATCGAAGAGCTGATTTATATATAGCCTTATAAGTCATATTTATCAACAATCCCGGGAACGGTTCATAATAGCGCACAAACCTCGGGAATACTACGCCCAAATTCCAGGATAGTTTCTGCTTGCAGGGGATTGGTGCCAGAGAGCTCAAAACGGGTGGCCATGTAATCCTCAAGGTTTTGCAGGGGAAGTTAGTTTTGCCATGGACAGCGGCGCTATCGGGGTTAGTGTTGTGAGTTTTGCGATTGGCTGGATTCTTCGTGGTAGTTTCGAAGGGAAGCCCTTGCCCTAAGCTCCTCCATGTGCCTGCCATTGTACGTGCCATTCTCCATCTGATACTTCGGTGCTGGGAGGTGGGGGGCCATTTACTGGGCTCTTGGCCTGTTGATAGCTTTCGGTGTGATGCTGGCAACCAACGCGGCCCTGGCCTTGCGAGTTACCGTTCGAAGCATTTCGTAGCCATCAAGGGCAGCAGGGGGTTGCTGTCCGCTTCAAGGGCAAATCAAAGGGCATCTACGGTGCCCAGCGTGGCTTCCAGCTAACCGGTGGAAATGGTCTTCAGTCCAGGAGACGTCTGCTATGTCGACTATATGGGAGAGGCCTATATGCGTGCACACAAGGGTCATCCTAGCTGTGGTCAACCATGCTACTTTCGAATACGTGGTGCTCACCCCTGATAAAGACATCTACGTCGAGGTCCTAGATGCTTCTAACGAAGACCTGGTCCTTTTTTTCCCTAGTGGCCCCCAAGGAGGAATTCCCCGAGGTGTATCTGCCCCGAATGTTTACTCCTTTGCACCTATGTCCCCAGCGGAGTTGGCAGTTCACATGCAGACAGGACGCAGTGTTGCTGAGGAGGAGTTGCGGAGCCGCGGGGGCGGTGGAGATCCAGGAGCAGGAGCCGGGCCTCTCTGTGGGGATGAGGTTTGGGTGTTGCATGACTTCATCAAAGGGCATAAGATGGGCGAGGCAGTTGCGGCCCCGATGGTGCGCTGAGGCTCGGGGACCGGGCTTTGATCACTGTTGTGGACTCAGAAGGCAAGAGCACCGTGGCCATGGCAGCTAAGGTGGATCGCTCAGGTTTGGGTGAATTTTGTGAGGGCCGTGTTCTTGCCTGTCGTGATGCAGCTGAGGCGCATCTACGCAGTCCTTCCTCGGATTTTTTGTGGTCTGGGATGGGGGGCAGGCAACATGATGTGCTGTCCTTGCCGCTGCTAGTGGAGGAGGCCATCCATCATGAAGGCAGTCTGTCCCGGGCCACTTTGAGAAGAATTCAAAGAAGAGTGCATGTACAGAGGGAGGTGAACCATGTCATCAAGTCCCTGAACGCACTATACGCTGGTGGTACTTCGTCTGGACTCCCGAGGTGTCCAATCTGGATGAGTTGCTCCCGGCTCAGCGGCTTGCCATACTCCATATCCTCCGTCGAGTTCGTGAGTTTGGGCGGCGCCTTTGCATGTGACTATGGCAGGAGCCTTTTTTGTCACTCGTGCTCGACAAGTCAGACGAGGTTTGACAAGACTACACATCAACTCAAGTCGTCCAAGCATGCACATTGGCACACCCCACTTTACATTAACAAGGAGATGCTCAGATGCCATACACGTCACTACAGCAAACTCTTCCACAAAAGAGAGACCGCCATCAGACCTTCATTCAGCGGATCACTCAAGGAAACTCAAGGCCCACATTCCCGATGCAGGGTCTGCAAGCTGATGGCAACGACAGGAGCAAAGAAGTCGCTCACAGATTCAGTTTTGTACTGCCCAAAACCGCACCATCATTCATTCAAAGTTCTCCCGGTGTGAGAGCTCCCATCGCGATAGTCGCAAAGAACCCATAGCAAACCCTGCAGCCTTCCACGTGCCTGTTCAGAATATCAAGCGATCCCATGCTCAACCATCCAGTCATCAGGGAACCCACGTCCCACTGACCAGCGCAGACATGGGCAACTGGCGGCCAGGCCCACGTCTCAAGCCCTGCAACTGCCAGAGGAAAGGGTCGTTTCAGCCCATTGTAATGTGGTCAGCATACCAGGCTCATACCCAGAAATCAATACCAGAGTGGGCCAGCTAACAAAACATGCAGCTGCGCCCTTTACCAGTATGTTTTCCTTGCAGAAAGGCCACTCCAGACGTGATCCAGACCCAATCAGAAGCAGGAGCAGAAAAGGTGTCCTATACACAGGTTCCCAATTACAGGTATCGTCGGTCTCGTTCTTTTATCCCAAACCTTTTCAGGAGGATCGTATGATCCTTCGTGCCAGAAAGCCAGCTGAGGTCGCATTCTTCACAAGAGCGTCCAGGAAGGCGCACACCACGGTATACCATGGCTGTTTGACTACTTTCTAGTGTCTACTCGGCTTTGTAAAGGCCCCCTGAAGTCCTGTCTTGTTACTGGGGGATACACCCCATGCGCCGGTGACTTCTGGCGTCTTGGCCTGCATTGGATGCAAGGGATAGACCTCGCTGCCAGCCTCAATGGGGGGCGGGGAGGGGGAAGAGACCACATCACCCATGCACCACCACCCGAATTGCAGCAGCATCCATCCATACCAAGCACATCCCGAAAAAAAAAGAGCAAAACACACAGCACCATCATGAAGGGCCCAAGCATAAAAAGAAAGCCCATCATCCGTTCATCAAAGTTTCATCCGTTCATCAAAGTTTCATCATACTGCATGCGTACGTACGAGCTCGCAAGCAAGGTTGTTTGTTCGACTTTGGCGGTCGTAGCCCCGGTGTGTGGAGCATATCTACATATACAAGGCGCCAGCTCAACGTCGAGGGGGGCCCCGAAAAAGTGGACCTGGTTCGCCGTAAGCCCTTTCAGGACTTGATTGGACCCTGCCAAAGGCCTCAGCAACACTCCCACGAAGAGGTACAATGGCAGGATGAGTAGGAGCAAAGGAGCCTGTACTTGGCAGTGCAAAAAGAGGCGGAAATCAAAACAGTGCAAGGAAGGCAAGGAAAGGCAGAGCAGCGCAAAAAGAAAGGGGCAAGGAAGTCAGTGCAAAAAGCAGTGCAAAGGGAGCATCAGTGCAAAAAGGTGAAACAGGTGTCAACGTGGCAGAGCCCAGACAGTACATGGAGTGTGAAGACAAAAGTACATGAAAAAGGATCTAACTATAAAAACAATCAACACATCATTACTGTCGGGATGCATCGGAGGGGGCAGCTACATGTGCCCTTGCTACCCGTGCTGGACAGCTGCGGCAGGAACTGGATAGACCTGTCCATTCCAAACCAGGTTCACCATCTCGCCTGCAGAGGCACTGTTGGCCCCCCCTTGCATGCTCATCGGGTGCTGTGCTGGACCCGGAGTCATGGGCGAGTTGGTCGGGATACCACACGCACCCTGGAAGCCTGCACCCCCAGGCTGCAGAAGTTGGGCATGCGGAGCCAATCTCATCGTCGGAGCTGGTATCGAGGTTGGGCGAGCCTGAGTAGTTGCTCCCAGACTTGCCGAGGAAGGCTGCCATTGTCCCGGTGGTTGTGCCGGAGGCGGGAGCGGCGCCTCGTCTGAAGGCAGGTTCGGCGCCGGCGTATTGGGGGGCGGCGCCTTCGGTCTGGTTGCCGCCAGCTTACTGGTGGACTGCTCCACCGCCACCAGCTTGGAGAGCGCTGTTTCCATGCGCCCTTCCACATACTGGACCTGCGTCTGCAACTTCTCCAGGTTCTGGTTCATAGCTTTCATCTCCGTCTGGAGGTCTTTGACTGCCACCAAGATGCTGGTGTAGTCCGTCCCTCCGTCACCGGTGCCCCCTTGACGGCTGCCCATCGCGGCATGGATCGAGTCCAACTTCCTGTGTGCATGTTGGAGCCCCTTGCTCAAGTCCGTGCCGATGGTCCCCAGTTGCGTGCCAAGGGCATTCAAGCGGCCATTCTGGTCCCACGACGAATCCTCAACAGCTTTGTGAGGGTTCGTTGGGCAAGGTCCTCCGTATTCACGATGACCTCGCGAATTGCCCTTATGTCTGCTCCATGCTCAGGCAGAGGCCCCAAAGTACTCTTGAGCCCATTGAGCGCCGGCATGACGGTGGCCTGCAAAGGCCCGAAGGCATCTCTCATTGCGGCCTCAAGCCTAGGCTGTGAGTAGATGCTGCTGTCCAAGATACGCTTGAGCTCCGTCAGGGTGGCTGCGAGGTGTTCTTTGCTGTCCGAAGCTGCCGAAGTTGTCGAGTTGTCCACGCAGAGCTTAATCTCTTGCAAGCTCTGTTTGAGCTCTTTCAGGGCCTCCACTTCCACAGGAGTGAGATCCTGCGGCAAGTTAGGAAGACCCGGCGAGCCATCATCCTTCTTCGTCTCGGGGGCCGGTGCAGGTGTGGGAGACGACGAGGTCTCCAGAGGATCGGCCTTTGCTGCCGGCCCGTCCCCATGGTCCTCCCCGGCATGCTTCACTTCAGTGCTTTCCACTTCTGATGCGGTTTGCACAGGAGGAGGCGGTGCCTGGAGGGGAGCGGTATCAGCGCTTCGTGCCAGATGCCACGGCTTGGCTCAAGGCCGTTTGGGTTCGAGGGCTCTGAGCCCAGGCGTTACGGATTCTTACCCCCTTAGGCTGGAGGTATATCCCTCTGTGAATCTTGATTGTGTCCGTTTGGCAACTGCCGGACCAAGCTTAGCGGCTTTGTGCCCCAGCCTGAAGTTCCTGGTGCAAGTTGACTGATTCGGCATGGCTCTGCTTAACCCTGATGAAAGGGACACGGCCTCTCTGCGTGAGGGGGAGTTGGGGATGAGACGAGGGATTGATGCAGATGCTGTGATGCGCACCGCTGACGATGACCGGCATGACGATACTGCTCTTTCTCAAGCCAGCACCTTGCCCTTTGGAGCTGCCGACCCCAAAACCGTTGATCCTAAGCCCTTGGGGGTTGCTGGCAATGAGGGATTGCTGCAGAACATGGCAGCTAACACTGCACTGTCCTTGCCTATGCCAGGTAGGAGCCCCGCACCTGCCCGTATGCCTGTTCGTGAGCCTATGGGTAGCGAGAGAAACGACCCCGACTTCCTTGCTAGACATGCTGCAAGAGCTGCTGCTGCTGCTAGGGAAGAAAGCCCCCTGCATGCTGCGCACGTTCTAACAGATCAGGACCATGCAGCAGCTGCTCTTCAAGCTGCCCTGGAGACGGACCCCCGTAGAATCAATAAGATGCCCCCGCCCTCTACAACCCGCAACGGGAGTCCCACCAAGCGCACCAAGCATGCACCCTCAGAAAGTGGGCTGGGCCTGCGAGCTGCTCCTATGTTTGGAGGTGATCTTCCTCCCGCTGTTTCAGGACCGACTCATCATCACATCGGTGAGGACGAGCCTGCGTGGCTTCACGGGCTTAAAGCCTCCCTTCAAGCAGGGCAACAGGAAATCCTGCTTAATGTCCACGAGCAGAGGGCCGAGTTCAGGGAAATGGGGACACGACTCGAGAGAGTGGAAGCTAAGCAGGATGAGTTTGGGCAGTTTAGGGATGAGATGGCGAAGCGGATGAGGGATATGGAGTCTGAACTGAGAGAAGTCAAAAGTAGGTCAGTCAGTCCTGTCCAGACACCGCGGCGGGGCGGTGGAGGTTATGCAGGCCCCCGAGCGGGGACGGGCCAGGCGCCTAGCCCCGCGGGCTCCTCAGTTGCTGGGTCCTTTGTAGACGACTGGCAACTTGTTCTGGGGGGCTATTCTGACGCCAAAAGGGAGGACATCCAGTCAGAAGTGCGGGCTCTCTTTTCCGAAGCCGAGGCAACACCCTTGCTGCGGAACATCATTACCCCTTATGTTCGGTCCAACATCTGTAGAATTGAATTGCTCTACTTGGACGAGGGGTTTGGAGCTCGGAGGAACGTTCAACAGGCAGTGATTGTTGGGCTCCGGAAAGCAATTGACGCTAGAGGGCGTAAATCTACTATCTTGGGACAGGAGCGAGCGTCGCTCTGGGTTTCGAGAAACCGAGGCCCAGAGGAGAGGAATCGCAACAGGGCCCTTCTGGGTCTTCGTGACCTGGGACATGCCCATCT